TTTTTTTTCCAATCCTCACCTGAGGATATGTTTTTATTGATTTTTAGAGAGAAAGGGAGAGAGAGACACATCAAGAGAGAGAGAGAGAGAGAGAGAGAGAGAGAGACTTATCGATTGGTTGCCTCCCTTATGAGCCCTGAGCAGGAATCAAACCTGAAACCTTCTGGTGTATGGGATGATGCTCCAGCCAACTGAGCCACCCAGGCAGGGCCAGGCATCCTTTGTTAACTCTGATCCCTTCCCTGGCTACTGCCAGCTCTGCCACTTGAAACCAGTGGTGGGTGCTGTGTTCTCTCCTCTCCTATCATCTGCATGGAATACCTTGCCTTCCACTTGCTTTCAGGGCAGACTCCAAGACTCAGTTTAGATGACACTTCCTCTTGGAAGTTTTCCTGGGATGCCCAGATTTGGATTAGGCACTCATGTTTTTTCATGTGTGTGTTTTTAAAAAATATATTTTATTGATTTTTTACAGAGAGGAGGGGAGAGGGATAGAGAGTTAGAAACATCGATGAGAGAGAAACATCGATCAGCTGCCTCCTGCACACTCCCTACTGGGGATGTGCCCGCAACTAAGGTACATTCCCTTGACCGGAATCAAACCTGGGACCCTTCAGTCCGACGCTCTATCCACTGAGCCAAACCAGTTAGGGCGGCACTCATGTTTTATGCTTTCGTTTTCTGTGCAAGTATTAGAACATTCACTTCAAGTGGCTTAAACAACAAAGGGACTTGATTGGCTTGTGTAACTGAATAGTCGAGGGGTAGCGCTTGCTGCAGGTGCTGTGTGATCCAGGGGCTTACATCGCTGCTGCTGGGCTCTCTCTACGTTGCTAACTTTGACTCATTCTCAGAGGCCTTGGAGGGAGTCCCATCAGCTTCAAGACTCCCATTCTGCCTAGTTCAGTCCATTGAACTGATCAAGCAAATGCTGGCTTGTTGGGACCTGAGGAGAGATTTACTTGCCCTTCCCCCAAACCAACCGAAATGGCCAAGGGCTTAGAGTGTTCTACTTCTGTGGTTGGCAAACTAAGGCCACTTGTTTCTGTAGTGGCCGCACTGCAGAGGAGGCAGGCACCAGCGAGCTTTTCTTGCAACGGGACAAAAGGTAAGCCTTTTAGGCTCTGTAAGCCAAGGCCAAATGGAGGATGTTATGGGGGACTTACATAACAAGGGAGAAAACAGATCCCCGCCCCCCAATTTTTACTGATGGGATTACAGTTACAATAATAATTGAGTCCAATATTTTTGTCATATTGGTCTACTAATGAGAAGAATGGGATGGGGGGGTGGGATATATTTTTCCATTGAGGTTCAAAGTTCATGCTCCCTTCTTCAACTCGATGGCATATGCTCATCTATAAAATCATTCTTAGCTCACAGAGCATACAAGAACAGCAGGACATGGCTCAGGGGCCACAGTTTTCAGACCCCTGATGAAATCAAACCGCTACAGAGCTAAGGGAAGAAAGTGTGGGAAGCTGGAAGAGGAGACAGCAGACCACTCCCACGGTGATGTCATACCGAGGTCTTCCCATGTGGGGCTACCTTAGTGATGCACCATTCAGAGTCGGGCTGTGGGGTATTTTGTAAGGCAATTCTTTATCAGACAAGTTCATGTACATCGGGTCCCCTAATCCTGACACCATTCTTATAAAGTACATAGGGGAAACTGAGACTCAGAGAGATGTAGCTGTCTGGGTTTTCACAGCAAGGCCTCTCTGGAACAACTCTGAGGATTCTAAGATGAGGGCCTGGGACCTGTGCTTTGTAACTGAACAACCGTGCTGTCCCCTGGTTGGGGGCAGAGGCTGGGCCAGCAGGAGGACAGGTGGCCTGGAGGCTGGGCTCCAGCTGGCTCCATGACATCCAGTGTCCAACTGGGACGGGCCTGGTTAACACAGGTGCTCAGTTCTGTCTCAAGAATCTCTGGGGTTCGGCCTGTCTTCCTTGTAACTCCCCACGCAGGAGTTATAACTGGCCTCAAACTAGAGAAAAATCAGGCTTCAGGTGAGCATGCCCAGGACCACAAACAAGGAAGCTGCCCCCTCCTCTTCCTCCAGCCTCTGGGCCTGGCCTTATGGGGTCCCTGATGAGCACTCTGGTTTCGGCAAGCCTTGATGTTGGGAAGACCATGGGGCGGGGCAGGCTGTGGACAGCCCTCAGCAGGACAGTCCCAGCCCTCCTCCAGGGCTGACTGGCCTCAGGCAGGGCCACCAAGGTCAGGGTAGGGTCTAGGGCAGCGGTTCTCAACCTGTGGGTCACGACCCCTTTGGCGGTCAAACGACCCTTTCACAGGGGTCGCCTAAGGCCATCCTGCATATCAGATATTTACATTATGATTCATAACAGTAGCAACATTACAGTTATGAAGTAGCAACGAAAATAATTTTATGGTTGGGTCACAACATGAGGAACTGTATTTAAAGGGCCAGAAGGTTGAGAACCACTGGTCTAGGGCATGCAGAGGTGGCCAGAGGTGAAGGAAGGTTGCTGGGAAGGTTTCCAAGATAATGATATTTATTTTAAAATATATTGTTATTGATTTCAGAGGTGAAAGGAGAGAGAGAGAGAGAGAAAAACATCAATGATGAGAGAGAGTCATTGATTGGCTGCCTCCTGCATGCTCCCTACTAGCCAGCAACCGGGCATGCTCCCTGACTGGGAATCGAACCGTGACCTCCTGGTTCATCGGTCTACGTTCAGCCACTGAGCCACACCAGTTGGGGCCAGAATAATGATATTTAGAAACTAAGAGTGTGTGTGTGCCAGTACCTACAAACACACATTCACACATCCTCTGGTCTCATACTTGTAAGTACACACTCCCATAGTCAGACAGTCACACCCACAACCATCTTCACTAGCAGCATCACACACACGCACATGCCTATGGTTCCCCACACTGACTTACACACTCCTGAGCTCACCCCACAGGTGTATACACACCAGGGGTAGTTTCTTAGGACTGCCATCGCAAAGGACCACACACCGGTGGCTGAGAACAACAGAACTTGATGGTCTCATACTTGGCAGTGAAGTCCAAAATCTAGGTGCCCCTGAACTTGTAGGGGAGGACCCTTCCTTGCCTCTCGCTAGCTTCTCACAAGCGTCTGATCGCCCCAGGTGTTCTTGGCCTGCAGCTGCGCCACTCCGATCTCTGCTTCCATCTCCACAGGGACACGTGCCCCTGTGTCTTCACAGGGATGTCTTTTATTAGGACACTAGTCCTATTGCATTAGGAGCCATCCTACTTCAGTATGATCTCAATTTAACGGATTACATCTGTTATGACCCCATTTCCAAATAAGCTCGCATTCTGAGGTGCTGGGGGTTAGGACTTCAGCATATTTTTTTTTTTTTTTTTTTGGCAGACACAATTCAACCCATAACAACACCTTATGGCCACGAAACCTCATGTACTTCGCACACTCCCATAGTCACACACAGCTGTAAACACTATTTAAAAAATTTCCCCCATTGATTTTAGAGAGAGAGGAAAGGAAAGCGAAAGAGGGAGAAACATTGATGTGAGAGTGAAACTTTGATGAGCTGCCTCCTGCACGCACCCCACTGGGAATGGAGCCCATAACCGGGGCATGTGCCCTGACCAAGAATCGAACTGGCAACCTTTGGTGCATGGGACGATGCCAACCAACTGAGCCACACTGGCCAGGGCACAGCTGAATACACTATTTTTTTTTAAATTTTATTTTATTTATTTCAGAGAGGATGGGAGAGAGAGATAGAAACATCAGAAAGAGAATCATCATTTGGCTGCCTCCTGCATACCCCATACTGGGGATGGAGCCAGCAACCCAGGCATGTGCCCTGACCTGGAACTTAACTGTGACCTCCCGGTATATAGGTTGATGCTCAACCACTGAGCCATAGTGGCCAGGGCTCAGCTGTATACACTATTGAAGTCCACAGATGTGCACACTCATACGTTCCCTCATTCCCATAGTCGCAAAATCACACCTATCCATATATATCCCCAGGATCACACGCACGCATCACACACACATGCACGCATTCACACACACACATGCACGCAGACACTCACATGCATGCACTGTCCCCCAGACTCCCGGTCTTACATCCAGCCCCCACATGCCTTACAATCACTTTCCCTCACATGCCTTCCCGCCCCCACCCCACCCCACTCCCACACATCCCCTTGGCCACACTCCGAGGCCACCCCTGGGGGTCATGCTCTGAGACCTGGCACATTCGCAGCCTCACACTTGGCTCATACCTCTCACATCCTCTCCCACCCACACAGTCTCTCCCCTTCTGACTCCTCCATCCAGCGCGCCGTCCCCTACCAACCCTCAGGGCAGGGATGCACAGCCGGCCACTGCGTCCACCCCGGCCAGGGCACCAGGCGGACAGCGCTTGCTGTCCGGAAACATGTGTCCCCACAGCCTCCTCCATCGCAGACTCCCTCTCTTCCCTCTCAGGAGGAGACAGACAGACAGACAGACACATGCGCACACCCTCGCCCTCGGGCCCCGCCCCCGCCCCACGGCAGCCCTGTTCCTCATTACGGGCCAATGCGCCTGTTTGCTCGCCCAGCTGGAGATGGTTAGAGAGTGATAAATAATGAAAGAGAAAACAGGCTTTTCCCCTCTGCGGCTTCTATTTATGTAACATGTGTCACAGCTCACTCACAGACTTTGTTTCGGAGCTGGTTGCAGGAAATAGTTTATTTTTTCCGGACGGTGGC